GTGCTTTGCTCCCGCTCAGACGCAGCTCTCCCCAGAGGCCCCAGCAGATGCCGGTTTTACCCGCATGGCTGAGCGATAGCAGCGCTCAGGTAGTGCACGTGCACGTGCACGCTCGCACGTGCACGCTCGCACGGGCGCACGTCAGCCCAGCACTAACATTAGTCCTCCTCCGAAAGCCACTCTGAACAAGCCCAACCTGGAAAACTTCCCTCATGCCCGAGCCTTTTTACGACATCGGCTGTCTCAAAATGAGACATGTCTCACCTCCAAACAGCCAGATGTTTTTTGTGATCTGTCAAAGTGGCAAAAAGTAAGTAACAACTCTCCAAAAACCTTTAATATCATTTTCAGTCCAGGCCTTTTCAGAGGAATGTGTTTGAATATGTTTGTTAGGCCACCAAACACCATGAATCATAAAAAAAAATGTAAAAAGCTTAAAATGACCAAAATTAACCTACACGCAAAAACAAGATTTAAAATAACGCAAAAAATGCACAAAAAAATCTTAAAATTACCAAATATTCACAAAAAAGCCATAACGAGGCTTAAAATAACACAAAAAAGAGAAAACGTGGCTCAAAATGACCAAATATTCACAAAAAGACGAAAACGAGGCTTAAAATGACCAAAGAATAAACCAAAAAAAGCAAAAAAATAGAGCTAAAAAGGCCAGAACATGGAGGAGGAAGGAGCTCAGTGATGGAGGAGGAAGAAGTCACTTTAAGCTCCTTATGACCATACAAATGCTATTTTTATTTCATATATAAGGTTTCACATTTCTTAGGATGTGTGCTTCATTAAGTTGAAGCCTTCCCCGGTAATGGACCTCTCTCCAGACTTTCAGCTCCCCGACTTTCTCTTATTTACTACAGGAGCTGCAGTCTGAGCCGAGACAGACGAGATCAATTGAATTTAAAGCACTTTAAAACAGGAAAGTTTGGAGCTGCCTGGGTAACCTTGACCCATTTCGAAGCGGAATAAATCTGTGAAAACACACAGACTCTCGTTCGAATGCGCCCGGTTGTCTTATCCTCCATCCTCCTTCACTCCTCATTTCATTTTTCATCAAAGCCCCCTCACCCCCCCTCCCTCAGACTTGGTTCGGTCCATCCGTCTCAGGCCCGGTAGGTCCACCCAGTTCCTTTTTCCTTTTAACGAGGTCACCTACCTCTGCCAGCAACAAGCACCGTGTCCCTGAACGCCTCACGCCTCGGCCGCCCTCCCCAGTGGGATCCGGGGTTTGTAGTTTAAGTCCCAAAGTGAAGCTCAAAGAGGAGCAAAGGGCTTTTTTTTAGGTCTTTAATGGCTCTGAAAGGGAGATCAGACCCATTTCTTTAGAGGCTACTTGGATCTTTACAGTTTTTACAGACTTTTAAACTGATTCTGTCATTTTTCTCTGCAGTTAAACTACAGAAAAAGCCCAAAACTCTTTATTCTTATGGCCAATGGCTGAAAGCTAAGTGAGATATAAGAACACAGATGCTTATAAAACCTCTCTAAATTAGTTGTGGAAATAAAAAACTGAATATGTTTTGGATGTATTTATTGTGGCTGGTTCATTTTTTATGTTGAGTGTTTTTTTTGTTATGTTTTTCCTGGATGACAACTTGCTTATTTCCAATGTTTTATCACAAATGTTTTAACAAAAGACAATTAGTCTGGCTCAAATCTAAATATCTAATTGTTTTTTAAGACATGATGGACCATAATGTTTTTTCTTTTTACATATTTTGTTAAAAGCCCGAATAAGGAATTCAAACAACAAAAAAAAAGTAATTTTCAGTTTTTTTTTCTTCTTGGATCAGGCTTTAAAGGGTTAAAGCTCACTTC